GGACGAACTCTACGGACACAGACATAGGGGTGAACAGAAGAGTTGAAGCAAACCCTTGGTTTGCAGGTGACCCCCAAAATGATATGGATCTAGAAAACCCTAGGTTGGGACAGTCTGAAATGCAAATTACCTCATATAATCTTTATAACACCTTTGGGCATAGCTGTTATTATCACTATACTGCATGTAAAAGTCAGAATGATTAAGAGAATTGCTCAAGATCTGCTACAGCTATGAGCTCCAGAGGGCACCTCTATTCTGTTTCTGCAGAAACTGAGTGAAAAGTTCTTTCTAGACCACGATAGTCTGTCTGAAAGCAGGAGCTTGGGTTGTACCAGAAACTCAGCAAGTCGAATAGTTGCTCCTACTCAACTTCTTCTTATAGACAAGTAACTCATTATAGTTTGTTCCTTGAACACTGTCATGCTGAAAATGAGAGTAAAATATGATTTGTATTATCTTCCAGATTTATAAGAGTCCAGATTTGCCCAATTCAAATTCCATCTGTATAGTCCAGTGTTCTTCATTAGGAAAGATATTTCTAAGCTGTTAAATGGTTCACAGTGTAGACCTGGGTCCAAGCCATGAGACTCTGTATGTAGGTCAGTTACAGGAAATGAAGTACAAGTTAAAAGCAATGGGATGGGGGAATGGGATTGTTGGCTCTTTGTTATTAGGCAGCTTCTTGAATACAATGGGCATAAAATGCAATAGATACAATGAGAGTAACATAAGGTAAACTATTATTGCTTGTGGAACACCTAGTTGAATCACACACCATCAGCCACAAGCTCCCTCCGAGGCTCACAGGACGCCTTGTCTTCTAGAAGTTAAGAGTCTGAAAGAAGCCTGACATCTGGAGCAAAGTGAAGCTGCCTCTAATGAACTCTAAAAGAAAAAGAAAAACTGAATTTAAAATAAATCTGTCAAAGATAATGGTAGAGTCGAACACTGAACTTTCACACCAGTTGTCTACTAAGAGAGAATCCACACGCACCTTCAGAAGGAAGAGGCGCTTCTTTAAAGAAAAAGCAAGAATTGGCATATGAGCCCAGAAAGCTGTTTTATATACTCTAGTAAGTCTGCTTTTCACTCTTTCATGAAAGTTATAAACATCGGGATTGTTATTAAATAGAAGAAAGAACACTTCCCTCTGAGGGTACAGCCCCTGGGGAAAGCGCTTACGGATCCTTCCCCTGCCTCCTCAGCAACGCCTGGAATTCCTTTCAGCTTTAAGGTCTCCATTTCCCTTGGAGACCAAAGCTGCAAGATCTGACAACCATCTCCCCAGGAGCAGTCACACTTCAGATGATTCCAGTCTTTTATACTTGGACGACTATCAGAGCTGTTAGGTGGAGCAGAGGAAGGAAGATGAAATGCTCGGACTGACCATAGAGGAAATGGCCTGAAGGCAGTCTGAGTACCAAAGTCAAATCGTGTTAATTCACTGCTTTGCCTGGGGCTGGCATCGCCCGTCTTCGATTTCGACAAGCCCACAGTGCCCCCTGCAGGGCAGGAGAGCAGGGACTTGACTTGGTTCTGCTTAGGTCTCCCACCGTAAGTTATTATTTTGGTGGAAACAGAATAAAGAAATGAAGAATATGAATTGTCTCAATATACCAGATTATTGAGAGTCTAGTTTTGCCAGCCTGAATTTGAGTTTGCAAAGCTGCTGATCAGCCGAATCAATATACCTGGGAATGATAATCTTTCTCTCAAAAGATAAGTCATTTAAAATTTAAATAACCTTAGAGAAAAATATAACCCCTTTCCCTTCACCTTAATAGACATATTTTTCATCTTTATGATTTTTAATTCTGTGTGTGCTTCATTTAAATGGTTAAATATGTATAATAAATTTCATTTAATTTTTTATCAATTATTTTGTATGCTTCGATGGATACATAAGTTTATGAAGTAACTGGATAATAATTTACTTAATCACATTCATATTTTTGGGCCTTGACACTTTGATCAGTACTCAATCTAAGTGATGTATATAAATGATTTATCTGTTTCTTTTTAATTAATTCTTCAAGACAACAGGCATAATGACCAGAGGCAGACATACAGACTTTGGAAGAAGAAAGATTTCAATTCGGATTGACTTTTCCGCTTTTAGGCAGTGTGCCTGTGGCAATGTTAATTATCATCTCTGAAGCTCAGAGGTCTCTTCTTTGTAATGGGGCTAGTAAGAATTAAGTGATAAAACACAAATACAGCATCTCATATGTGATTGCAGAGGGGTGATAGCATAACAGAGGGTAGCTATTGTGCTACCCTCTGTTCATAGACTTGAGATTTCAGGATGAAGAGGTAAAATTACTTTCATGACTAATAACATTTTCCTATTTAGAAAGGCTGCTCTAGTTTACACTGGTCTGGCTCCCTTTAGAAATTGTCCCAAGCTCTTCCCCTGGTTGTTTTGTACGCCATGGGCTCCAGTTCGTTGAGGGATGTTCTCATTCAGCACCTCCCCTCTGGAAACCTGAATATATGTCTGGGCTTCCTGGCAATGAGACTCACTTAGTCTCTGGGGAGAAGAGATGCTTCTGGAGAATGCTGTTTTTCCTTGAGCAGCAAAGGCAAGACAAGGCCTTGTTCTCTCCCAGGCCACTTCCCCTGCCTCCTCTGGCAAGCTTATCAAGGGGGGGGGGGGGGGCAATCCTTAAAATTTGTTGTCTCAGCAACTCACAGTAATGTATACAACTATATCACAAATCACAGTCTAATCTAGATTTACCAAACTAATGAGAACAGCAGTTTCAGCCTTGAAGGGATCCAATTCTTAGAAGCTCCTAAGAGGAATTCTGTTTTCAGAGTTCAAACAGGAGATCTGTTATCTTCTTAACCTGAATCCCTAATGCAAAGCTTAAAATGAACAAACAATATCTGTATTAGCTCAAGGTTACAATTAAATGGAAAGCAAAAATTTAGAAAAATAGCAAAACCATGAGGCAGATCAGTTCGCAAGTCACATAACATCTTCAGCTCTGTAAATAAATGCCCTGGCCAGAGTAAATAATTAGGAAGTATTTACCTTTGCATTATAAATGGCAATAGAAATGAGGATATTTACATTTACAAAAGGAATGGCAGCTCTAGTATCCCAGGCTAGTTAAAGACTAAAATAAAAGAAATCTAGAAAATAATTATATAGGTCACCAACAATCCTTATTGACAGAAGTCATGGAGTAATACCAGAGCATCTGCCCACAGTAATAACTCACAACACAACCACTAGAGTCAAGGCAATGTGTCAAATAAGTTTTGTGTGACATTGAGATCTCTTTAGTAAGATATGATAGATATTTCTGGAAATGTGAAGCGTCAAGGATGTCGTTAAGTGAGTAGCTTTGAAAAAAGGAATTATTTGGTATATTTAAGCCATTTGAAAGGGAAGCTTGAAGTTCTATTGACTAGACTAAATTTAATAGAAAGTTCTAATTCAGAGGTATTAGACAAAAAGAATTTTGCAACCTTGAGACGGAGGGCAACATGTAGGATAGTGAGGCCTGAAGCATAGTAACCCTTACCTCAGATACACACACACACAAGCACGTGCGTGCACGTGCACACACACACACACTATGCTGAAAACATACCTATGACTTTAAAAATATGTCATAGACAACCATGAATGGGAAAGAAGAGCATTTTCTGTAGTTTGGGGTATAAAGCTGTTTCTAAGTTACTGAGGACTCTCTACCTAAATACCACAAAATAAAATTTTTAAACAGAATTCTTCTTTCTACAATCTTAGGCTCATATCCTGCTTAAGGCAAAGATGGAAACTTGGTACACCAGCCACCATGCTGCACCTCTATGAGCACTAACTAAATGCACTGCAAACACTCCGGCTTGCTACCCTCACTTGAGTGGCCTGTCATTCTTCCATTTATTTGGTGGTCTGGGCAGCACAGAGCTTCTGGTAAAGAGTTTTGGATGATAATGGCTGAAGGGTTAAAAGGGGATATAAGCTACTGGTAGTTCTTAATCTGCTGCAAAAACAAAACCAAACAAAGAGAAAGTGTCATGCTCAATATTAAAATGCAAATTTTACAGTGGCTTGAGGTCCTTTCAAGGAAAGTCAAGAGAATAGAGACGTCAGCAGATAATCAGGAATACGTGGACAGTGCTTTGACATGAAAAAAAATGAAAATAAAAAACTCCATTATCTTCAGGCCTTGCTGAAGTTGACAGAGTCAAAGGGAACTACTGCCTGAGTCACATCATGACTTTAAGAGGTTTGCAGAGAGCAGAAATGGGGATAAGTCACCATGAGAATTATGCTAAAAAGCAGTGATTCTCAAAGTATGGTCCCCAGCAGCATCAGTAACGCTTGGAACGTTTTACGAACATTAATTCTTGGGCTCTACTTTACCTACCAAATTAGGTGGTGATTCTGATGCCTGCTAAAGTTTGCAAACCACCAGAGTTACGTTTCAATTGCGCTTACATTTCCATACCGCATCATCCATGGTGTGTGCATGTGTATGTTAAAAATTTTGGAAGAGAATATTAACCTTTAAATTTTTGTTTGTTTTAATTCAGGAGTGTTAGTGGAGGGAATAATAAACACGAAGATGGTTTCAATAAATAACCACAAGTAATCTAAAATGATAGAAAAAAAAACAACAGAAACATTTTAATTTTTATATTCTTTTTCTTAACGGTCAAGTGTGAGTCCCTTGAAATTCTACTGATTTAAACATTATATTTGCTTTTATTTGGAAGGAACCTTAAGAACATGTTACCGCCTCATTTTACGGATGAGGAATCTGATGGCTAAGGATTTACTGACACACCCGGGTCCAACGGAAACTCACAATTTTGGGTCTGAGGAAGAGGGATCACAGGTAAAAATTTTAAATGTGTAGATATTCTTGCTTTAGAAGGAAAATAAAATATTGACCTATGCTGTTTGAAGTTAAATGACTCATTTAACTGCCTTGCCCCACTCCGGGCTGCTGTCCGGGGCTGGTGGCTAAGATTCGCATCGTTAGAGAAACACATGCTCTCTCAGGAGGCCATGAATCAGCAGAGCCGCCTGTGGCCCCAGCTGTAAGGCTGCCTTTACCAGGGAAATGAAAGAGTCTTTTCACTCCCCGCTTCTTCCCTCCCCCTGCCAGGCCCAGCATCATCATCACTCCCATCTTCCTTCTGTGACTGCATCCTTCTTTTCTGGAAGGAAATCATAAGCAACCTGTCCAGGGAGGATTGCTCCGGAGTGAGTAAAGGATTAACTTTTATTATAATTATTAGTCACTACTATTTTATTTATGCATGATGTCCCTCCTTCTTTCGAGATTATTTAAGGGGGGACTTTGATTTTAAGGGCATGTTATCTGTCCCATCCTCTGTCAGGTCTTGACACTTTCGGAAGGCATGAGGATGAAGACAAGAAGACGTGAGGATGAGATGTTTTAAGTTCCCACACTTGGGCTTGCAACTCTATTAGGAAAGGCATATAAATGACATATTAGAAATAATTGCCTATTAGCAATTTTTGTAGTAAAGAGAAATAAAAATACTTTGGCTGAGAATCATGGAGATCGTGGGGAAGTAATATTCTGTTTCAGTAAATGATAAATATGATCTGAATGCTGAAATTCTCTCTGTTCCTTTTTGGACGACCTCTCTTCTTCAAAAGCTTTCCAGATCGATTTCTGTTTATTTGGAAGCTCATGTAAACCCAGTGAGGGTAGGGGACATGCCTGTGTTGTTTATCCCTGTATCCTTGACAGCTAATGAAATGCCTGACACATGTTGGTACAAAGCAAGGGAGAAAGGAACAAAAGGAAGAATTCTTTTGTTGATATTAATAGAATATCTATTTCTTTTTTCTTTAAAAGGGCCCCTAAAACTGTACAAGGAAACTTGGAGCCATTTCTGACAATGCTTAGGATCGCTTTTAGGATGAAATGAACTCATCTGTATTGGGTGTGTGGCACACAGCACCTGCCATAGGAGTGTCAGCTGTTTCTATTATGTAGCGATGGCATATGGCTGATAGATGCATCAAGGGTAGTTCCTAGGAATTCTTTCTTTGTCTTTACGGTGCTATTTCCCTATTATAGACTATTTAGTTTTAAAATTAAAAAATAGTAGTTCAATCTTGGGTATGTTGAAGTTTAAAGTGGAGATAAAATATTCAGCGAATATGTCCAGAAAGTAGACATTGAAATGGTTAGGGATAGGGCTCAAGAGAAAGATTAGGGAATCGATTTGAGAATTACGCACATACAGAAGATAGTTTTCAATTATGGATCAGAAGGTCCAGGGATAATATGAAGAATGAAAACTTCTAGGGCTCAGGATGGAATCCTGGGGGATGCCAATCTTTAACAACCAGTTAGATTGTAATGGTGGTTACATGGATCTGTATAATTTCTTAGTACTGTACACTTGCCTCCTCCTCAAGAAAAAGTACACATTTAAAACTGATGATGTTCAAATAAGAGCTGTTGTTGAATTAATACTCTGCCAGTGTGAATTTCCTGGTTTTGATAATGTGCCGTGGTTATGTAACAAAATTTGTTATCTTTGGGGAAAGCTAGGTGAAGGATACATGAGACTACTATTTTTCCATCTTCTTCTGAATCTTTGTTTTAAAATAAAATGGCGAAAAATAAAACAAAACAACTAGGCTGTGGCAGAACCACTGTGGATAGCCTTGGGCATGCCCATTTAAATAGGGCTGACCCAAAGTTGCTGGATAATTGAGAGTAAGATATGGTGTGCTGAAAGTATTTTATGGTTCTCTGAGCAGTGATCTAATTTCAGGCTAATTTCAAAAGAATGCAACCAACTGCACAAGCTAAAACAGCTGTAACATTCCAGCTACACTCTGTTTCCGGTCAATAAAAATCCTAAATCTTTATAAGAAAAAAAATCAAGCAGAGCCAGAGAAGAATAGGCTGGAAAATTCTGAGGCAGTGAACCAAGAGGCAGCAGCTCAGCATTGCTCTGTGGCACTGTGGATCTGAAAGGTCTACTCAACTCAATACCGGATTTACTCCCAGACACTAGGAAAAAGAATTTTGTTTTATTCAGGTATTTCCAAAGAAAAATTGATATAGGAAAAATAAATTCCACTAGATTTCTTTTTGGTTGTTGTTGCTTTCGGGAAAAATAAAAATCATTAATAATCTTTAAATTTATCCTGTTCTCACAGAACCTCGGGGATGTAAGGGCAGTTAGAAGTGATTTATTTCCTTGCTGCTCAAAATGTCTGTGGACCAGCAACAGGGGCATCCCCAGGGGGCTTGCCAGAAATGTAGACTCTCAGGACCCACCCAAGACCCATTGAGTCTGAATTTGTATTTTTTCACGTATTCAGAGGATGTGCATGCTCATTAAAGAATCCAAAGCCCTGGTCTGCCCAATCCTTCCTTTCCACCACATTCATAATCACCAATACAACACTAATTAACAGGACGAGTACTGCCAGCACCTGGGAAGATAACCTCACATAACCAAAAAGATCAGTGGAATAAGGTGTTTATTTTCAAATTCCCTAGAAACAAAATCTCGTTTTTAACAATCTTCCACTTCCACCATATGATCTGCTTTCTTGCTGTTGCTTTTGGATTGGAGGCTGAGAGTCTGCAGGCTGTGAACTTTCTCAGACACCAGGCACTCCTCAGGGGGAGGTTGGTGGAGAGCAAGGGCCCACACCTGCGGCCCCTACAGCTTCCACCTGGCCAAGGGCCTTCGCTTCCTCTTCACTGTGTTGCGAAGGCCACCTGAGAGCGGCTAGAGAGCAGGAAGAGCCCAGAGTAGAGAGAGGAGGTGAGCATTCTACATCCCAGGGTACGTCCCTATCTGACAGCACCACCTCCATCAAAGTGTGATATTGGAATGTACTTTTTTTTTTCAATAATTGTGTCACTGCTTGACAGGTCGACAGCAATGTAGTGAATACATTGCTCTCAGGACTCATGAGATCTGGGTTTAGCCAAGCCCCTTCACAGCCGGCCACCTCCCTGAGCCTCCATTTCTTCTTCCATAAATATGGGTAGTATTTGTCACAGGTCCAGTGTCAGGGCTGAAGTGATAATAATGCCCATCTAAAATGCATACTGACAACTGGGAAATATAGCACAAGCATAAAATATATTGAAAGGCAAGGCACATTTAATTTAATGGAAACAATTTTTATCCTGAGCACTTTACACAAACTAACTCACGATGTAGTTATTATCATTACCTCTTTTTAATAGTGAGGAAATGGCGGCATGGATAGATAAAGTAAATTTGCTCAGGATCACACAGCCAAACAGTGGCAGACACAGAATTTGAAGTTGGGCAGCTGGTTTTAGGGTCTGTGCTCTTAACTACTCTGATCTGCTGTCTCTTGCGGGGTACAGAGTGTTGCATGCATTATCTTACTTAATTGCAAGCACAGTCCTTTGAAGTAGTTATCATTATCCCAATTATACATGGGTGAGAACGGAAGCTTTAAGGGTAAATTGCCCAAGTTTATGTAGATAGTAGGTAAGATTCAAACACAAATTCGTTCGATAGTCCATGATTCTAAGTATATTTTTAGAGCTAAACTGAAGAAGCCACCAAATTTCTAGTCTTGGCAAAATTTCTCTTTACTGAGATGTTTCAAATTCTTCCAAAGTAAGTTATGTCTTGGGAACTATATGACCAACAATAAAACACTGTATTGTAGTAGAAAGTGCTAAGGTTTTAAAGTCAAAGACTCTAGTTTAAATTATAGCTCTATCACTTGGTACTTAATTTTAATAAACCCCATTCCCTGTGGTTTGGGGGTAATTTAAATTGTATATGGAAACTACTCATACCAAGCATACAGTATTAGTTATTCAATAAAATGTTAATTTTAACAAAACAATTCTGAAAACAATCTTTGGGAATCTTGGGTTTGTCTGGTATTTGCTGTGTGGTTTGGGTCACATAAACTTCCTGGGCTTGCATTTCTTCATCAGACAAGAGCCTCCATATTGGTTCCTTGGGTAGGGAGTGAAATAAAATGAAAGAAGTAATGTGGTTAGTAAAGGACCTTCCGCATAGCTGGGCTTCAAAATATGATATTTATGACTATTGTCCCAAATTTAATTCTTCAAGAAAATTTAATGAAAACTGCTTTTATTTTAAAGAGTTGATCTAGTTTTTAAAGTCCTTACTTATAATTCATAAATTTAGAGAGCAGGCTAGTATATATGTAGTTTCTGTGGGCTGTTTAAAACTGGATTTTGTTAGCATTTCAATTTCTTTCACCTCAGAACTGCATAAAAAGCGCCCCACTGTTATAACCAAGTCTTGCTACTCAACAGAGTTCAGCAATGCTTAGCGATGCTGTCATCTGACACCATAGGGACATCTCTACATGTAAACTGAACTAAGGGAAATTTTGGATGTCAGAACTGGCTCTTAAAGAAAAACAGGTGTTCTCGAGATCTACTTTGGTCCTGAATGTGATATTTTAACAGCCAATAACTTTTTTTTTGTTGGCAATAACAATGTTAATTGTTCAAGACAAACTGGGACTGTAGGAAAATCACAGATACATTCAAAATTTACTTGATCTCTCATCTTCATCATTAGTCATGACATCAGCTTTATCAAGGAGATGAATGTTTTTTAAGTTTGTATTGCTTTAGAAAAAGGAAATTTATTTTTAAAGAAACAGCAGCAGTTAGAAATCTAAACATGCAAAAAAGACTGAAGCAGACTTCAGGAAATAAATGTGATTGAACAACAAAGAAAGAATTTCTGGAAAGAATTGTTTGAAAATTTTAACTATAAAAATGTAACCCTTGGTGTGTTTTTCAAAGTCTCATAAAATAGCAGGTTTTTCTTTTTTCTTTTCCTTTCCTTTCCTCTTTTCTTTTCTTTTTCTTTTTCTTTTCAACTGTATTTTTGTTTCTGAACGCTCTGTGAACTGATACATTCAAATCTGTGTTGGCCATCATGTTTCTGGTCGCCTGCGACAACGTCGATTTGTCTGGGTCATCAGGCCAAGATGCACCGGCGTCTGGAAATGAGAGTGCTGAGGAGAGAATTTCTGGACCTAGATTTTTCCATCCAAATTACCTTGAACATTGCCAGAAACCCAGTTAGCTGTTTTGAAATGAGAATCCCCCAAGATAAGCAAGGATTCGCAAAATAAATTCCTGTCGTCCAGTGGATTTTTCCAGTGATTCGTCACACGTTTTTCTTCTTAGCTTCCCAATCGGTGATAGACTCCAGAAGGGG